TCCACACTGGTTTCAGGCTAATGAACGCCTGTCTTGCTTTTCCGATTCTGACTTTGACATCCTCGTCCATCCCGCCTGTAGTTGAAACAGTGCTTCCTAGATAAGTGAAGGAGGTTACTTCCTTTAAGTTTCTCCCGTTGATGGTGACTGGAGTTTGTTGTTGTTGTTGGTGGTGGTGGTGCGGTATCTTCATCACCTCTGTCTTCTCTATATTCACTTGAAGTCCCGTCTTCGCTGCCTCTTCTATCAACTTGTTAGTTTTTGCCTGTAGATCTTCAAGTTTATGTGACATTAGGCACAAGTCATCGGCGAAATCCAAGTCTTCTAGGTTCCTTTCCACCGTCCAGCGTATTCCCCTCTTCTTGCTGCCTACTGTTTGCTGCATGAACCAGTCCACCACAATCAGGAATACCATGGGGGATAGTAGGCAACCTTGTTTCACTCCTGTCTTCACTTCAAAAGCATCACTGAGCTTCCCATTGTGAATTACTTGTCATGTGGCATCTTCACATAGTTGCTGAATGAGGCGGATCAAGGTTTGCGGTACTCCGTAGTATTGAAGCAGTTTCCAAATTACTTCTCGGTCGACGCTGTCAAAGGCCTTTTTAAAGTCGATGAAGTTGAGGTAGAGAGCTGATTGCCATTCTATGCTCTGTTCTATGATGATGCGTAGTGTGGCGTTGCAATTTGGTCTGCACATGATTTGTACTTCTGAAGCCTGCCTGTTTCGGTAGTAGTTTTGAGTCCAGTGCATCTTTAAGCCTCTCCAGGATGATGCGGCTTAATATTTTACTTGGGATGGACAGGAGAGTGACTCCTCGCCAGTTCTTGCAAGCACTGAGGTCTCCTTTCTTCGGCAGTTTGACAAGGTAACCCTTCTTCCAATCATTGGCCAGGTACCTTCTCTTCCTTCCACACCTTCTGCAATAGTGGTCTGGTGTGAGCATGTCCGCTGTTGTCTCTGCATCTGTTCTCAGTGCTTCTGGCGGGATCCCATCTGGTCCTGCTGCTTTCCCACATTTCGGTAGCTTTATGGCGTTCAGGACTTCCATTTTCGTTGGGGGATTTATGTTCACTTGTAATTCAGCGGCTGCAGGTGGTATTTCTGGACGAAGTGCAGGTGGTGGTCGATTCAAGAGCTTCTTGAAGTGGTCGGCCCATTGTTTCCTCTGTTTCTCTTCTTTCACAATTAAATTTCCGACATCATCTTTTATTGGTTTCATCTGTGTTGGTCTCTTCCCTGATAGCAACCTGGTTATTTGATACAATGTCGTCAGGTCTCTCTGTTCTGCTTCACTTGCCAGTGTTTCGTAGAAGTGTCTTTTGTCTTTGCGTGCACTCTTCTTTACTTCTTTGTTCAGTGTTTTATACATTGTGCTCAGTTCCTCTTTTGGTTGTTCATCCGTGCACTGTACTGGTTTGTCTTCTGCTTCACCATCCTCCTCTCCCTCCTCTATCAGCTTCCAGGTATCCGTCGAGATCCATTCCTTGTCCTGTCTTCTTTCTTCTTCCTTCCTAATACTGTTGTGCAGGTTTCTTTCCACATAGCTTTCAAAGACTTTCAGTGTTCTTCCACACAGGTTTCTTCAGGGATGTTCCTCGATATCTCCCATTTTGTCTTGATGGCTGCCGTGAAGATCTCCTTTATAGTTTCATCCTTCAGTTTCCGAGTGTTGTACTTGAATTGAGGTCTATCACCAGCTTCCTTGAAGGCTTTTAACTTGATTTGGAAGGTTCCTTGCACTAGACAGTGAGTGGTGTGAACCTACATCTGTTCCTCTTCTTGACCTTGTGTCAAGTAGACTGCGTCTCTATTTTCTTGAGATTGAGATAAAGTCGATTTGATTTTTAGTGTGTCCATCTGGTCAAATCCATGTCGCTTTGTGGATATCTTTGTGCCTGAACACACTGCCTCCAATCACCAAATCGTTGAATGCGCAGAATTCTGCAAACAATTCTCCATTCTCATTCATCATCTCACCGAGCGCCTCTCGACCCATGGTTAGTTCTCTTCCCGTGTTGTCCCCTCCCAGTTTGGCATTCATGTTGCCCATTAGAATGGATTTTGATGTTGCCAACTAAGGTCTTGTCCAGTGTTGATTGAAGTTGTCTGTAGAATTCCTCCTACTTCTCTTGCTCTGCATTATTTGTAGGTGCATAGCATTGTATGATTGTGACTTTCCTTCCTTTTGAGTTGAACCTTGGGGTCATAATCGTGATCGTTGAGGAGATTGGTTCCCACTGTATGAGAGCCTTCGATGCTGTTGGAGACATCATGATAGCCACTCCCTCAGTGTGCTCGTGGTTGTCCCCTGGGTGACCGGAGTAGATTATTGATTCTCCAGTTGACAGTTTGGAGAGTCCACTCCCATTCCATCTGCTTTCGCAAATCCCAAGCACTTCGATGTGATACCTTCTCATCTCCTTTGCAATCTGGGCTGCCTTGCTGGGTTCAAACATCGTACGGACATTCCATGTCCCCACGTTTACTTTCGCTTTCATCGAGAGAAGACACATCGGCCAATTGGCTTCCCGAAGGCTTTCACCAACTGGAGTCATTTCGCCCCTCCGATTCCAGCGGGGAATAAGTTTGTTTTCATTTTTTATATTTTGTTTGTGCTTTGAAGTTTCTTTAGCGGTTAGATTCGTTTTCCGGTGTAGGGTTGCTAGCCCTATGCCCAACCTTCCCTCTTTACCCGGGCTTAGGACCGGCTAGTAACTAATAAGCGTAAATAGTTGCCGACTGTTACCCACCACCGATACCTTCTCCATCTCTCTCGCCCATCGCCCACTACTGTTCACCATCTACATGAGGACTTATGGTCAACCTACGTGCATTTAAGTTCCTTACGCTCTTCATCGTGTTCATTGATAGCTCCAATCAGTCTGCTCACAACAATCATTCCGGATGACGTCGCCGAAACCAACTCAGAACCTCGTGTACACATGTGCAATGCTACAAAGGCATCTGTGGTCAAAACCCTGTAACTGCTTCATGCCTTCTACCTTCAACTGCAGCGCAGTATACTCGTTCTTTGATAGGTAGTTGGATGTGTAACCAGTCTGCACCACAAGTGATGCAAATTGGCAAATGGCAAACTGGACTTCTGTATCCGACCTGAGATTTCATCAGCAACCACCCCATTTAGGCCGTTGCAACTCCACAGGTAAGTTGAGTGGTTGACACATTCCACCATTTCACTCCCTACCATAGAACTGGAAGTACTTGCAGCAGACCAGTCCTGAAGCATCATGCTACAACTGAAAGGAGCCAGCGAAACGCATGCCATACATACTCAGATTTCTGCTCAACGCGTTTAGAAGACCCTGTATTTTGCCAGCGTTTTCGCAAGTGATTTTCGGTGCAAAACTGCAACAGATAATCACTCATCCCAGTTTCTGACATGGGTTACCATACCATAATTACTCCAAAGGTTTCTCTCTCCGGTTCCCTCACCCTCCCTACTTCAACGATAAAGTCACCTACCATCATGACTACATCTCAACATTTTGTTTTCTGTAGCGAAATTAACAGACACAAATAGAATTCATCCTTTGCATCATCCCAGATACAGTCACTGGGTGCGTAGATGGCAGAGATTACGAATACACATCACCTAGTCTCACACTACATCCTATTACTTACACACACATTCAGTCGAACAGCACATTGACATCACTCAGCCGACAAGCTCACTTTATGCTCTACAAATCAATGCTATGTCTACACCACCGAGTCCATGAGACCTAGCCGTTGGGTCTCACGATAATCTCAAGGTCAATTCTCGAAATTCACCACACTAGTCAGGTGAGGTCAATTTCATAACCACACTTCAGTCCTCTTTGTACACGTGTCTCAGAGACACAGCATACATCCACGGTTACAGATTCAAGAGTTTCGGTGAATAGTGAAGCTTGCTGTCCGAATCGGTATACAGTTCGGATGCTGGAAGCTCCTACATGAAATCGATGACAGGGTGTAAGAAAACTAGGAATAATGAGGTCCCGATGGATTTGATCCTTCCCAATGGTTGCGGAGTCAGAGGTTGAGGAAGGTGTAAGAGGCTCAATATTAGTATCAGGAGGTGAATGCAAAGAGGGAAAAATATAGAGTTGAGGAGGATAGGTTATGTTTGATTCGGTCTTGTGTACTGCTGGGGCGTGTGGGCGGTTCACACTTCCCAGCTGCCCACACCGTGGTAGGCTAGTTCTTCTTGAGGTGTCTGGAAAGAACGAGTGGGGCGTGACCGCAAAGTCCACGGGTTGTCTGCTCGAGGCCGGTTGCACACGGCGGTTTGGAAGTTTGAGATTATGGATTTTCGCTTTCAAATCCGACTATCAATCGAAGTCGCATGCTGTGGCATGATGACTACGCTATTTTTTTGGATCGACCTTTTTACAAGCCCCTTCACATAGGGAGAACAGCATTAGCGTGGCACTTCTCGTCATACTAGGGAAACATCTCACTGCTGTCACACTCCAACCAGCCAGCAACAGTACGACTTCTCCCTCAGACTCCCACTATAGAGCAGCAATTTACACTATAATGGTTAACGCTTTTTGTCTAACCACTACCCAACACATTTCTGGCATGGTAGGAGCTCGAGGGTACATGCGTCCCACCAGCATATCTGGTTGGGTCATTATGATATACAAGCCCAACCACCATGTCAACGTAGCAGCTATCGGTTTGGAAATAAAGAAACTTATTCAGTTTTTCGACTATTCTAAGACATCGAAGAATCCTATCGTGAAAATAATATTAAGGCATGTAAGCGAACAATATTGACCGAGTAAAAGGACCTGGGACTGGAGTGAGGAGTCATGGAAATTGTCACTAACCAGGGTTGACAGATGACACATGATAATGAATCCCAACTATGGAAACCGTTACATATGCCAATGAGTAATATAGTGTCCAGAAATTTTAGTAAAATTCCTAAACGAAACGCAAGACAAATCAGTTTTTCTCAGCATTCGCTGTATGAATATTCACTCACATCTTTATCCACAACATCTGTTAGAAAACGAACTGACATGACTGATAGACGAATGTTCCGAAGTAAGGGAAAAAGATTGGCAACTCGTTCAGTAGGTTGGTGGTATACCCAACGCATAACAGCATTATATACAGATTCTTCACTATCAATCTGGAAAATAATAGAAATTCACATCAATATGCAAGCATCAACATATTTTCAAAAGAAAAAAAGTAATGAAAAAACTTTAGATGATCCTGAACTACTCGAATACAGATGATGTCGTTTCCTCTTGATGAAAAATTAGTACACCCAGAGATCACTATGGTTTACCATTACTATTAATTATGATTACTTATTATTAAAAGTAGCAGTAACGGCATTATTGTAATTACTAGAACACAAACATGGTATAACAAGGGCACCAAGAAATTCACCACACAAAATAATATAACACTATTTTGAAGACATAAAGTCAAGGGAAGTGGATAAAAAGAAAAACAATACAATAGAACATAAACTTCAGGATCAAAGTTTGACCCGGTAACGTTGAATAAGTTGAGCATTGGGTAAATGGATTATAAATGAAATATATCTGTAAAATCCCAATGAAGTAGAAAAATATTTCTACTTCATTGGGATTCTACAAATATATTTCATTTATAAAAATAGAATGATCAGAAGACCAGTTCAGTTAGATACATTCAAAACAAAACGTCTACTACTTTTCAACAACAGACGAAAGGGAGCTACAGAATGACCACCACTGGTTTCCATTCTAAGCAATATTTGATAGCCTCTCAAGCCACTGAGTTGTATGATCTCTCACAACCCAACCACAGAGTCGTGATGCACCAACAGATGCTAACCTAATAACAACTATCTTTCATACCACGGCACCACGTCCTACACCGGCCAAACATCCGCATCTTCCATCCAGTCACACGACTAGCAAACAGCGAAAGGTAAGGATGACATGTGTAGCACATGTCCAGGCCACTGAAGCCAGTGTTTTCAGATGACTTCACTCATTGAATGATGATCTCCATCATACCCAAACACACGCTGTCACACCTCACATTACTTACATGGTCTCACCACCCAATACGAGCAATCATACACAGACAAAAATGATCAAACACACACAGTCATCTCACAACCTCAGCCCGAAGAGGCCAGGAGCAGAGTAGGACTCCTCGCACCGAAGCGTTGTAAACCCGATCTTTTACAATCAGACTAACACAGTGACAGCGCCAAACGCGGTCCAGATTGGCGTACGTCACTCTGGCTTTCGATACGTGGTTAGAAATTTCATCACACCTCCACTAGCACACATACAACTACCCAGATACATGACCTTTTCGACTACTTCCAACGGCTCACCACCAGGGGCGAGAGCAGGCACAGGTTCATGACAATCTTGTAAAAGTACTTTCAATTTTAATGGTTCAAGCCACATACCATACTTACGGACACTAATTGGTCATAAACTACTGTTCAGTGAGCCAAAAGGTAATGAAGGCGTTGCTCCACTCCTTTGAATAGAGTAATAACAACTACGTTGAGTTTAGAATTGAAGTGGTGTTGAACAAGACATTATCTTTTTACGAGACTGATTTTAATACTTAAATTTCTAAGGATGACTTTTTAATGTAATTCAAATGTACACGATTGTAAATTTGTATCCAAGTTTTTTTCTGTAAATAACAAAATCGCCTAATGAAGACCACTGGAAAGGCTCCAAGATACCAGTAACTGTGCATAAACACATCAAAAGAATTATACAAGACCCGACTTGCGTGCTTAATACTTTAACGATATACAGATAGGCATAACAAGGTAGAACTTAAAAGTTTATCGGTTTCAGTAAACATACTTCACAACGGTACAGAGAAAAAAGTAACAGAGATAGAAAGATACTACTACAACAAACGAAGATGAGTATTATTAGATGGAGCAAACAATATACGTAAATAACTACATTGAAAAGTGCAATGGATAGATTCACATGTGTCATTGTGATAAATTTAAAATCACGTTACCACAAGTCTCCAACCATTGGTCCTCAAAATTTCTCAAGTAGCTTAACATTGTCCTATTCGATTTAACGTTACCGTCTACCTTGATTATTTACTCCTTTAAGAAAAATACATGCATGCGACTAGAAACCTCAATGATACAGAGACTGAGATGCCAGAAAAAATCAAATAAATAACTTCATTTTACTTTGAACATTATAGATGTATATAAACCGATATCTATACAGCGCTGGATATTAATTTTAGACAACGCAGTTGTAATAGATCACATGACCCATGCTCTACACCTAGGTATCAATTTACGGATACAAGAATAAGCGTGGAACTGATATGATTGTTCACGTGCAAATCTTAAACGTGCCAACAGTTGGCAGATGATTTGAATACAGTTGTTGATGTGGGGATCAGTGGTATATGAAGCGCTCGAATTCAGCAATCCAAGATGGAATACAGATACAATACACTTAACTAAAATATATATGGATAATATTCAAAAGTGAAAAGAGTTAGAACTGTATTCATACAACTGCTTACTTGTAAATCTTCTCGTATAACAAGGTCGAATAATTCCTCATGTGTGAGGCACATAAATTCCTCAGACTCAACAACTGATTCAAAATTACTAACTGCATAGTTCTCGGTGAACTCTTCTAATTCAGTGCAGTTGTGAAGTTCAGCAAATCGTCTAATCCCAAGAACATTCGTAGAATCCACTTCAGTCAGTAGAAAATTAGAGCAAGCAACTTTCACACCTTCCATTTGAACAAGGCTTGCTGCTGGAAGTAGATCTTGGACATTATCCATACTAACACGAACCTGACCAGTATACACATAATCTAGCAAAGCATCCATTATTTCAGGAGAAATAGATTTGAGCTCAATCTCTAACTGTGCGGACTCTGCCATCTAAAAGGGGAGGAAACATATTTGAAAAATATACACGCAAAGAGCACCATAATATATGTAAAGCTCTAATTAAATAGGTCAGACGGTAGTGAAGCTTGATTCAATGCTGGGAGCACCACTTGACATGACATGAGCAATAAATCATGCTCAAAACGTTATCCAGTAAATAATACTGTATCCCTGTGTGGTATATCGAATAAAAATCTAACATGGAACGCCGGACAACATAGACATCTCATCCAATAGCTTACCATAGACAAGATTAACACAGGACCTGGTATTGCTGCGTAATGGTCCAAGTTACCACACCTCATATCATCAGATCAAGAGAAAGAGAGGGAGGGAGGGAGATATATATGTAGGAAATAAATTAGGGAATAAGGAAGTCAAAAGTGGTAGAAAGTTGTGATAAGGTAACAGAGGAGTAAGAAAATACTGAATGTAGTATGACGATTAAGATGAGGACAAGGTATGCATGCATCTGTGAAAACCCCTGGTTTCCTTGTAATCGCAACCTAAGTACTTACTGATACGGTTTGGCTGAAGTAAATGATAAGCTATCAAAATCTGTGTAGCCTCCAGATGAAGGCTAAACGTCCTGATGTGGTTGTCGTAGCACGTAATTTCAATGAAAAGTGAGTAGGCTATTTCAGACAAGAAGGAACTTAGGTAGCATTTCCTGAATCTCTGTCGGACGAAAAGATAACGGCCATCGCTTGCTGCAGCTGTGCTCAGACAACCATCTACTTCTGGTCAGCATGATGTCGTCAGACGTGGCGTCCACTGATCTCAACTTGACGGTGGACACAGACATTATTGCTAACGGTAATCACAGGCGAGGGTCGATAAAAGGTTGCTGCACTGTTCCTTAGACACCTTGAGTAGCAACCTGGGAATGTTCGAGATTTTTTCATCATCCAAATCCAAATTATTGTCTCAGGAGTGGTTTGCGTAGGTGTCCTATCTAACAATAGAGTGAAGTGGTTGAGTGCCTTAACCACTACAGCTAGATCAGATCAGCTGTGGTTGGTCAGTACGCGAAAAAAAACACTTAGGTACCTTGTAAACATTCATGCAAGAGGCAATGAGCCACATTAGGTAGGTTAGAGGTGATGTGTTACACAGCGAACCACTCTTCATTCGGTTACCACTGCCACGCGCTCCGCGGTAACAACAATAGTAATAATAATAATAATAATAGTAATAATAATAATAATAATAATAATAATACGTACCCTGGTACACGTTCACGTAATAGGATGTGTTACACCATGTGGAGGTTCACGACACTACCTGGTTGTACTGGCATAAGTAGGTATAGAGGAATTGGAACCCGGGCCTCACCGCTCCAGTCGAATTCCTAAGCTGAGTCAAATCTTCAGTCATTCAAAGAGTAACAGGCTAGTTATCAAGGCTTTTCACTAAAACAGTCATGCATATGTCTCGTTTTTATTCGTTTTTCCCCACACATCTTTGTTGAGGAATGAACCTATTATCAATACTGTTTAAATAAGACTGATCACGCCTTGTTCAAAACTAAATATTACTAACAGCTTGAAATTTTTAAAAGAGAAACGTAATACAATTGTTTCTTTCTTTTCCAAATGAACTTAAATAATATCTGCAAACTGTAGCAAATAGTGTGAGAAGCATATAAGGAGCTATTTCTCTTCGACATATAGAATGCGTACAGACATATAGGGAATTGGTAGTAGCTTATATAAACAGTAACAAACGGATACCGAATATTAAAATATGATAATGAACCAAATGCATTCAAAGAGATGCTTACTCCGCTTGAGAACATAGCATTGAAATAATCGCTAGAAGCTGCTAAAACCACTCGATGAGCCAAAAACTCCCGCCCTTCTGCTTTGATTACCACATCACAAAGTTTCCCTTTCTTACGAAAAGAGTTCATCTTTCTGAATGCAGTAACTGAATAGTGATTCGCACCTTAAGAAAAAGCAACAACATTATGTACATACTTTCTTATAAGAAAAAGGCTATTTGCTAGGATCTCAGTGCAGAAAGTAGGGTTCAACTTTTACAATGAAAATTATGACTGATAGTAAATAAAAAAAGCAAGAAATATCAATATTCACTTACATTGAGGATAATTAGTTTGCATATGCACCAGAGACAAGTATGACCAGACACGATGCATGTTAAGTTAGTATCTACGTTTTATCCGCTTTAATGTTACTCGTCACGTTCATAGATATGCTAACCAAATTGAGTTTTGATGATTTTTATTTACTTAAGCTCATCTTTAACAGTCCCACTTTTATCCAAGCCCATCACACTTCCATATTCACTGTAAAAGAACTAGTCCTGTATTACATGCCGATTTACACAAGTTCGGGTTTTTACGTAGACAACCTGAAAACCCGCAAATCTGGTGTCTTCAAATACGGATGAGTAGTGAGTTCAAAACGCAGACGTAAATTAGATGCATTGATTCAACTTCTTTCACGATTCGTCCTGCATATAAACCTATGTGCGTTTGATAAACACTTCCTACAGAACTACAAATGCTGAAATGCCATGAGATGATAAGAAAGACATGGCAGTTCTCTATTTTTTCTGATCAGTGGTCATTCACATAAATACACTTAACAAAAGCGGAAAATAGCCGGAACTGGAGTTATTTATTTCTGGTGTCCGGCAAGAAACTATTAGTTCTCGTCCAAATGATTCATTCTATCGAAAGCTATTAAATTTATTTTGGACAAGAATGACCAGTGTCACCAGAACTAAGAGAAAAGTACCATAAAGAATAGGATATGAATATATTTTCGGAGACCAGACTAGTGATCGGTTCGGAAACCATCGCCCCATGGCAAGTACTCAAACCATACATATTTTTGCAGGATAAACACCACCATTAGCTTAATTTGAATTTGATTTAAGGAATGATACCAATCACAAACGAGATGTAGGATCTGATCATGTGACTGTATATCGATGAAAACCGAAGACACGTTGATAGGAAACGATGAAGCGAGGACAGAGAATCCCGAGCACGTTACAGACTGATACCAAGAGCGGTTGACATGCAAAAACTCATGTAAGCAGTTATGTACAGCATGCCTAAAAATCAATTGGATGTGAACTCACAGACACCCAATTCCAAACAATATATTAGTAGTTTCACCATCAAAACATCTATCTGTTAATTGGGTAGACAACGTAAGCCATTCCCTCTCATACTGAAGGTTTAGCAATTATGAAAACGAGGTTATTTGCATAATTACATGGTAATGTGGCTGACAATAACATATAGTGGCAAGAGCAATTTTGAACCGAAAAATGTCAACATTTAGATATACATATAGGTTGACATACCTTCATCAGTTACTGCCTTAACATCATATCTGCCACCTAACATTTTGTGCAGAGTTTCCATACAATAGAACCGAAAGTTAAGAAACAACGGCGTGGTTCAAAACAACTCCAAACTCCGCCGGGAGGAATAGCAAATGACTCTTTCCGGAATTCCGTATCGCAGACTGCTTTGAATAACTTGAGATTACGTAGTCCTCGGAGGTATGGAGATGCAGCGAAACCAAGGATCCAGGTAATATTACATCACATTAGAAAATGGCGGCTCTGAATAGAGGTCATACAGCGCTAAACAGCGTTAAACTGAAGGATTTCTAGGTCACATTTGCCTCATCCAACATCAGTAGTGTGAGCAGAGGAAACTTGTGGTTTTTGAGCTCTTGCTTCTAGTTCTTGAGGCTCGGCTGTTTTGTTCGGTTGTACTTCTTTGATCCAATATTCAATATCTTTTTAACGAGCTTGTGTAAACCAGTTGATTTCTTCGCGCTCGCTTCTTGGTCTTGCTGAACGGTCCCAAATCTTTGGCGGATTCCGATGCAGTAGATCCAACCACTCCTCTGTTATAGATGCGATTTACAGAACAGGAAGTTAAGTGTTGGTTTGGTTGCCTAGGACTGTGGTGCAGTTGGCTTCTTCAGATGTCGAGTTGCCAGACAGTTGTTCGGACTGGTCGCTAGAGAGGGTTGGGGATAGTGAAGAGAAAACTTAGAAAGTGTTTGTGTGAGTAGAAGAAGAGAGGAAAAGTGAGCTAATGGAGTAATCTACTTGCACCTAAGTAAGGTGAGTAGGGGTGCAGAGGTATGAAGAACTTAGGTAAGTGAGGCTGACTTGTGGCAAGTGGAAGGGGTGAAAAAGGCTTAAGTGGTTACAACAGAAAGAAAAGTGGTTGGGGCGGATTGACATCACTTCGTGTTCCAGCTATGTGTGGGTAGACCATGAGTCTCTGAATGACTGCATAGCCTCTTCTTGAAGCTTTCAACAGTTGGGGCGGAGACCACCTCTGCTGGTAGTGCGTTCCAGTACCCACAGACTCGGAGGGAGAAGAACTGTGAACGCACATGCGTTTTTGACCTCTGGTGTGCTATTCTATTGAGGTTTCCTCGAGGATCTCCGTGGTGGCCACTCGGTAGAACTCCTCTGTTTGGGTGAATTGGGCTACTCATTATTTTGTAAGCCATTATTAAGTGGCCTATATCCTTCGATAGCTTACAGAGTATCGGCCTAGGCCTTTCAGTCTATCCTTATGTGGTTTTCGTTGCATTCCAACAACCGCTTTTTGTGGCTCGCCTCTGGGCTTCCTCCAGTAAGTTCGCGCCTCTTTTCAGCTGTGGTGGAGCGAAGACGTTATGGTCCTCTAAGTGGGGCCGTACATAAGTCTTGTAGAGCTTCAGAAAGAGTTCTGGGGTGAGGGTACTCAGTTGCCTACGCACAAAGTGTTGTACCCCATACGCTTTTGAGACGTCAAATGGGTAATTGGAACTGGTATACAATTTCTCCGTCACCGTTAAACCTAGGTCCTTTTTTACTAGGGTATGGTATAGACGTGAACCACAGAGATAGAAGGATGCTTTCTGGGGATCAGGAGTGCCGAAAAACATGGACTGGCACTTATCCAGGCTAAATACAAGTTCATTATTAGTTCCCCATCCATCTAGTGTTCTAAGGTCCTTCTGTAATGCCACAGATTCCGCTTCGCAAGTTATTGCCCTCCATAACCTGACATCATTAGCGTATAGGAGAATCGAGGAGCTGATATGTTGCTGCAGGTCATTTACGAACAGTAGGAACAACAGTGGGCCCAGGATTGCTCCTTGTGAGACACCGGATGAAGATGTTCTCCAAGTCAAGTAGACCCTGTTGACTTTCGTGCAGAACTCCCTGTTGTCTAAGCAGTTCTGCAGCCACGTTAGCACCTGGCTGCGAAAACCTAGCCCGGCTATCTCATGTATTAGGATATGGTGTGAGACGGCGTCAAAGGCTTTGGCGAAGTCCAGAAAAACTACGTGGACCGGGACCTTGAGATCCCAGCATGCTGTCCAGTGATCATGGGCCGTCAGGAGGTTGAAGGCACAGGCCCCACCCCTCCGGAAGCCATGTTGAGTGCCACTGAGTGCCCGCTTCGTGTCAAGATATTCCCTGATACAGTCGTCCATCACACTTTCCACAGCTTTTGATACTACTGGTAGCAGTGCTATGGGTCTATAACAGTTGGGATTCTGTCTGCCTCCTCCTTTGAAGATAGGAGAAAGGATAGCCCGTTTCCACTTTCGTGGGAGCTTTTGTTCATCCAAGGAATGTTGGAAGAGATCATAGAGTGAGCCACTTAAGCTAATTGCACACTCTTTCAACACAGATGGGCGGATGTCGTCGCACCCCGGGGATTTTCCTGCTCTTAGCTTTAATAGCTTGTCGAGAACAACAGCGAGAGTTATCTGTATTTCGTGTGGCTCAGCAGTATCGGGGTAACGTTGGGGGCTGTTCGTGCAATTGGTATGCACACTTTCTTGATGGAATGTTGAGCTGTGTGTCAAATGTGATGCTCAGCGCTTCAGCAATCTCCTGTCCAGAGGGGTTATCTCCCCTCGGACCCCTTGTCTCCCCGCACCCTTATGTTGTTTTAATTCCGTGCGGTCATGCATGCGCCATGGTCATCCTGTTCTCCGGAGAGTCTCCATTTGTTCAGTGCCCTTCTCTTGGCTTTTAGAAGGCGCTCAGTGCCCCGTTTCAGCCATGACGTTCGCTTTCTGGTTGTTGTTACCGCCAAAGGGATGTTTTGCGAAACGGTCGCCTTTATGATATCTTTTACCAGTTCCCAGTGCTGGTCAACCGATAAGGAACAATAGTCCACTGGCCACGGAGCTGTTGAAAGGCTTTTGTTCATACCTTCATAATTTGCCTTGTTGTAACATAGGTAAGGGCGAGGTCCCTTCCGTGATAATTCTTCATTGCTTACCAGGTCGAGCATTACAATGGCGTGATCGCTACTCCCAAGAGGGGTTTGTACCTGAACATTTTCAACCAGAAAGGGATCACTAGTCAGTAGGTAATCCAGTGTAGATGGTTTAGCATCTGACCCCCAGCGGGTGTTGTCGCTGATTTTTTCCCGCAGTTCAGCCATTTGGAGGGTTTTTAGTAGGTTACAGTCGAACTTCCTGCTCGGAATCGTGCCACCTTGCTCTAGGCTAAGGGTTGGAGCGTTGAGGTCGCCAGCTATTAAAAATTGGTCGTACCCTATAGTTGACACCGTGGATATGTCTTGAAGCAGTTTTTGGTTGGGTTCCAAGTTGCTAGTAGGGTACCAATAAACGTTTTAACAACAAACAATATTGCCTAGCGAAATTAAGAACCGCCAATCGCCTGGTAGCGCATAGCGCCATGAGTCTCTCTCAAGGTGGTTCATTCCCATACAAAGATACTCATAAAAAGACTCTTTGCCCGGAGCCAGAAAATAAGACGATCTCATCCAGCCACAATACGGTTCACCTGTTCGTTTGTGAGAGCGCAAGTAAAGCGTACCACCATAGACAGCTCAGGTCACCTAGACTGGGGAATATGGTTTCAAGAAATGACGATAGGTTTTTCTAGCCACATCCCACTGTACAGTTCACGTCTACCCAGGAATATAACTCCATTGCACTAACAACGTGCTCCAGCTCACTACCCAACGTGAATAAGCTCAAAACTATCCCCTTGGGTGTTCGGAATAAGAGACCTTATACCTGCCCTAGTTATGACATAAAAACCAGCGTAAGTAACACCTATCCAGCGTTATATGAAGAATCTACGCCCTGGAACCCCCGGAAAACCCATCTTTTTTCGGGCCTCACAAAATAATAGCACCTCTAGCCACGCAGACGATGACACTCTCGAGTCAACTGCTATCAACCATAGCCAGCAGCCAATTCAGTGGCAGAAATACTGTAGCGACACCCTCCCATCACCCAGGCCAACAAATGATCGGTCATCGTCTGAGACAACAATGGGTAGTCCGGTACACAACGCTAAGGAACTTGCCTATATCTCGACATTTCCCACCCCACATCTGCTGACTCAAATGATGACCATGAAAGAACACTTTTATCCTATCTTGTTAACGACCTAAGCCTTTCTGCAGCCCCATCAGAATTCTCTGTTCTTCTGTTTAACTCACGTTCGATTCGCAACAAGCTAAGTTATCTAAAATCTCCAACTTATCTGACCAAACCATGCTGCATTTTAATCACTGAAACCTGGTGTACGTTGGACACCTCAAACCTCAGTCTGGCGTTAGATAATTACGTTTTGTATCGTGATGACCGCAGTGCTTCTAAAAGTGAAGGTTGCATCGTCTATGTTCGCTCTGATTTTTCATCTCCGAATGCCTTTCTGTTGGGTTGGGACCTATTAGATGATGCAGTATTCGTGAATATCAACAATTGCCAACATTGCAAAGTTACAATTGGTTGCTTACGTGGGTCACCGCACTCTGGACTTGACGTTGACGAACATATCAACGAAATATTCAAGCTGCTATCATCTCTACCAACTTGTGCAGTGGTGGGTGGTGATTTTAATATGCCGGGTATCATATGAGGGATACTGCAAGGACCATCTCGTTTCAAGCCATTCTTTCAAACCTTAGAAACCAATGGATGGGTTCAGGTTGTCAACAGCTGTACCCGAAGAAATAATATGCCCGACCTGAATTTTTGAACAACAAACCACCACTCACCATACACACTAGCACCGAATTCCCAGAAAGTGACCACAAGGCTGTAGCCTGTCAACTCTTTGCTCCATGTTGGTGCACTCCTACATTACTCAGGCCTACAACACTCGTTCGCAGAAGTTCTGTTGACATCAATTGGCCAAGCTCGCAATACTTGATACGCTGTCTAGACTGGGACGAGTTCTTTTCATCCGATGATCTGAACAACTCTCTTGCAAACTTCCATCTCAATTCAAACATCTGTCTCGACTCCGTAGCCCCAAAGAAAACACAAAAGTTGCATATTGACATGAAAGACTACATCCCTATCACATTCAGGCAAAAACTAGGGAAACCGCGAAAACATTTTCTTCGCGTCCCATGACTTTTCTGCCATTTTTAGTATCCACGCCGTTTTCAGTGACCTGGAAGTTCACAGACGAAAAGGTGAAACCTTTACTGAGAAAAAATTCTGGAACATGCGAATAAAACTAGTCTTCCTATCACTTCTGTCAAGAAGAAACCCTATAATGGAACTGACATGCTGAACATGTTGAACGTGGGCGGCAAGATTGTTGCGAACCCCACATAGATATGTGAAATACTAGGCGAAACGTTTAGCATTTCTTCCACTAGTTGTAGTCGCAGCCTTGCTACACTCAGTGGCACTGCAGTGTACAAAATCTCGGAGGTTGAGTTTAACCTAAGGAACTTGCGTGACTCAATAAACTCACCGAAA